TTTTAGACTATATGACCTTAATTATTGAGTAGGATATATTTTTTAATATTAAAATTTTTTTATTTAATAATTTTTATTTAATAATTTAATATAATTTAAATTATAATAAGAAAAAATTTAAGGAAATGTATACGTATAATATTAAAAGAAAAGGTCGATAAAAGGGGATTTCCTAGTACAAGTGGTGGGTGGGTGGGTGGCCATTGGGTTGGTCCCCATACCGAACCGATGGTGCTGGTTTTACAAGAACAAGAATGGGGATTACTTTGACTTTTTTTTTTTTTTTGGTTTAGATTGGTAAGAGGACTATTTTAATCAAAGAACTATAAAAGGTATTCTAATTCGATTGTCAATGAATATATATTCCAACACCCATATTACAAAGATCCTCAAACTGAAATGTTATAATACACTCTAGTAGAACAATTTATACTAACCTTATAATAACTTTATGTATAGCAATATACTGTGAGTATACTAGAAAGGGTATTTTAACCGTTGTTAATGAATATATATATCCCAACACCTATGTTACAAAGATCCTCAAACTAAAATAAGTCATAGCACACACTATTAAAACAGCTCATACAGATCTTGTAATAACTATATATTATATCGTAATATACTCATAATAGGGTGAAGACAAGATTTCAGTTATAGTACGGCTTATCAATTATGCTATAGGGATATTGATAATTAAATTGTTACATTTATTTTTATATTTTTTTACTGTAAATGAAAACAAATATAAAAGGAAGAATTCCAAAAATAAAAATTCAAAAACAAAAATAATGAATTTATCAACTCATAAATGAACCTCTTGATAATTTCTAACTAGATTCTAATCTTGTGCATTAACCATTCATTATATACGTACATTGCCCATGCATTATGTATAGTTTTACTCTCTTTTTTATTTATGGCTTTAAACTTCATTTAATGCAGTCATTGCATATTGTTTTATATATATATATATATATATATATATATCTATAGAAAATAGTACCATTAACCTTATCTCTTAAAAATTAAGAGGAAAATTATCCCAAAATTATGTCGTTTCAATAAATTTTTATTAAAAAAGACTAAACTATCATATTTTTAAAGTATGCATTAAGATGATTTTTGTCCTTTTTTCTCTTAATTTTTTTGAGGTAAGACAGATAAACATTAACCCCATATATATATATATATAGATTTATTACAGTAAATTTTCTCCAATGGTTGAACTCCAAAAAAAGAGATTTTGGTGTAAGCATTTATATTTCTATTTTTCTTTTAAGGAAAAGAGTAGAGTTTGTGCCTAACCCCCACTTAAAATAGTTATGCCCTTGAGTATACCTTTGAGTAAAACCCAACACAAGCCACATAAATATTTTAACAAACACCCGATGTGCTTGACAAAAAAAAAAAAAAAAATGAAACGATATTTGTTTTGATTTTTTGAAAATAATTATTTATTGTTAATTTTAATTTAATAAATTAAATATTATAAATTATACATAATAATTATCAATCATAAATATTAATTATCAACTAAATTTGAGCCGTTAATCCAAACACTAATATAACCTTCTCGATCCTCATTGCCGGAAAGCACAAAGAATCAAAGGAACAAAAAGGGCACTCATAGCAAATAAACATGGCCCATCACCAATAATTGATTCTGCCATATGTGTAGTGTAGTAGACGGATTTGATTCTCAATTTTCCTTTAGTATATCAATTTTATTTTGGATCTAATCACTTTGATTTATTCTTTTTTAATATATAGGAATATTGGTTAATAAGATTTTCTTTTTGTCAAAATTCTATGATTTAGGCACTAACGATTATCTAATTTAATTAAAGTGCAATGAATTTGAAACAAGTCAGTTTAGATGAATCTTTAAAACCAAACCTTTACCGTCCGATCTAAA